GCCACAGAGACTGGCAAAACATTAAGAATGAAAAACCTCAAGAACATGGCCAGCCAGCCCGAAAAACCTACCATCACCGTTGGATTCCGCCCATGAAAGCCTTCGAGAATAGAAAAATGGAATTATTTCAAGCAGTAGTCTGGACCCATGGAAAACACTTCAACGGAGACACAGCTACTGAAGGACAAAGGGTGTGATCACAGAGGGAAACAGATCAAAATCTGGACCCCTTGTGGTACGGGAAGGACAAAGGGTGTGATCACAGAGGGAATCAGATCAAAATTTGGACCTCTTGTGGAACGGTCCAGTGAAATCTATTTCCCAGCAATCACACGACGCACGAGGAAATGTGGTTCAAGGATGAATTTTTTTTTTTTTATCTATTTCCCAGCGATCACACGACGCACGAGGAAATGTGGTTCGAGAATGATTTTTTTTTTTAAGTCTAGCTGGAGGGTTTCTACTTTTGGACCAAATCCCCGGTAACCGGCAGGATTGATTTAAAGGAGATCGCTCTCATTCAAGCAACCCTTTCTCATAGGATAAGTCGCGTTCCTTTTCAGCCATCCGATCGCACCCAAAATCTCCTCTGAAGGCAACCCTTTTATGGCTGTTTTAAGCCACTTTGGATTTTTACACTTGTTGGCTTTAACCGTCACGATGTCCCCAGGCACCTCCAGCTATGAGTCAGTAGCAAAGGAAAGAATTCCCCAACACAGCTGTGCGATGTCCAGGCACTGCAGGAAAGGGCGGATGGAAAATTCTGGGGAATGGAATCAAGAGACGTTGGTACAGTAACTCAGCCGAGCTGCTTTGAGATCCAAATTCACGCGGGCACAGATCCTACAAAATTCTGGGGGGCTGATTTCTACATAGACATGCAAACGTTTACGTCGCAGGTGTAACTTCCCCAAAAGTGGGTGGGCGTGAAACAAGCAAGTGAAATGGGACGTATTCTCCCAAGATGCTGTGGGGTTCGACACAAAATGAGGAGTCTGAAAAAAGCCCCCCCCCCACCACATTCTGAAAAGACAATAACAGAGAATTTGAAAACCTTCATGTCAGAGACAAGCCGGCTGGTCTCTTCTGCCCTGTCAGACATGAACACAGTCGCTGTACTCTCTGTTTACACTCTACGTGGACGGCTGTCTCTCTAGTCCAGAGCTAAATTGGGTAACATGTTTACTCTTGTGGCAATCGAGTTCCCACATTACTTATGTGTCTGCAGAGGTCTACCTTTCAGCCCTCTGTCACCGCTAGGAAAACACTGGAGACTCCCGGCTCCCATCGTCCTTCACCCTCAGCAACACTGCCTGCCTAGAAGCGACATTACTCTCCCTGGGGCAGGAATTTTCCAGTTGGAAAGGAGCCACAAAAAGGGGGCCAAACCTGCCTTCTGACCAACGAGCCTCTTTCGGTCATGGGGGTACACAATGGTACCTCAGAAGATGACCCAGGGAGGGAGTTCTGTCTCTCAGGTAACCAGGCCTTAAGTCATTTTGGGTTTTTGGCAGAATGGGCAAATTTCATGCCCAACGGTTGATTCGGGCCCAGCAGCAGACTGGGAGAATGTTCAATGGAGGAGGTATCCAATTGTTCTTAAAAACATGCACCCCAAAGTGGTCCGGATGATATATTCTTTGCACCAGCTGCAGTTTCTAAACAGTCTTCAAGGGCAGCCCCAGGTAGAATCCCTGGGCAGTAATCTAATCAGAACGGGATGCCACATTGGGCGGGGGGGAGGGAGAGAAGCAAGAACTCTAGATGCAGAACACTTACTGTTGGGACTGCTTCTCAGCAAGCTCGTTTGTTTTCTCCTAGGATCAATAAACAAGCAAGCAGAAAGGGACAGTAAATACATAAGGAAGGAAAAAGAAAAGGCACAAATTTACACATTTGAAAATATTAAATAACCCCATCACCACCGCCCCAGAAATACGCATTTCCAAGGTGTACTATTACACCTGGCCACTAGAGGGGACCAGAGACTATGCTATATATGCATAGGGTTTACATATCGATGGTTTTTGGCATCTCCAGGGGTTCTTAGAGGCGATCCCCTGCAGAGATCGCTGCCCTGCTTTATCAGGTGCTGGAGACGGGTGTGGAAATTGACGCAGCACATCTGTGAAAGTGACACAGGCCTGGAATAAGGCTAAAGAAGGAAGGCCTGTGAAATTGTCGTCCATCCCACATCCTTTTCCAAGAGACAATGACTGACTCCCATCTTCAGATCCCCACTTTCTTGTCCGTCGTATTCCCTCCCCACACACACACACACAAGGTGTCCCCCCACCACCACTAAGAAAGGCTACTAACCCACACAGTCCTCTGGATCATCTTGGCCGACTTGAGGAGGAGATGCCCAAACTCTCCCGGCTTGAAGTGGTGGGCAGAATGCTGGACGCAGAGACAGAAGAGAAAGGCTGGAGTCAGTTTGTGATCGTCCCCCGTGGGCTCGATGAGCGTCACGATCCTTCGCAGGAGTAAATCTTCATTGGCTTTTTCAAATTCCAGGTGAAGTTTCCTCCGGCTCCCCCTACGGCCAGAGGGAGGCGGCGCAGCGCCTTGCTTTTTGGAGAAGGGGGCGGGCCCCCCTTTGTCTTTGAAGTGACCCCCACACATCTTGCAACCCGAGGACAGCTCCGGCTCCGATGCCCGGCGCACGGCTTTGAGCCTCATCAAGGTCTGAGCCGGCAGGGGCTGGGTTTTCAGAGGGTCCTTATAAAGCATCAGGTAGTAAAGGCCGAGGGAGATGAGGTCTCCGTGGTGCAGCACGGCCGTCCGCCCCACCTCGGAGAAGTTGATGGAGACGCTGGCCCCCGGGATGGGCTCTAGGACGAGCTTCTCCTCCGAACGGTGGCGGGAACGGCTGGACACCTTGACCCGCCGGATCGTGCAGTGGAGGGGGAGGATGTCCGGGGCCGACAAACTAATGCTGGGTTTGCTGGCTTGCGTCCTTTGGCCGACGGTGTGCTGGTCGCGGTTCAGCATGTACACCAAGCTGTCCTGTAACGGTCAAACCAAGAAATGCAAAAGTATTAGGAAGAGCGCACTGGGCACAATCAGAGCGTTACATTTTAAATTACAACTTCTAATGGCCATGGCAGCTAGAGGATTCTGGGCACTGTAGTCCAGAACAGTAACTTTTCAGAGGTCCACTAGACCAAATGCCTTGATTGATTGATTGATTGATTGATTGATTGATTGATTGATTGATTGATTGATTGATTGGCACAATGCCATGCCTTTTACGCCACTGGTATAACTGTTATTACTTTTATAGACTCATGATGATGATGATGACCATACGGCAATGGCTTGTACGTGGAGTTTTTTTTAAAGTAAGGCATGTCATTGTGCAAATTGATCGATCGATCGATCGATCGATCGATCAATTTGCACAATGACATGCCTTTTACACCACAGGTATAACTGTTATTACTTTTATAGACTCATGATGATGATGATGACCATACGGCAATGGCTTGTACGTGGAGTTTTTTTTTAAGTAACCTACAATTCATTCTTTGAGTTCTTTATGAACAAGGAATAAGAGGAGAGTTACTTTCAAAACGTATAGCTACAGCAGTAATTACTTTTGGGGTCTCAAAACTATAAGTAATTTAGAAGTCATTTTCCGAGTTTTGGGCACAAATCATGAATCGTATAATGCAGTGGAAGTGAGAATACTGAACACCTGTCATCGCACATTGGAAGGATGGATCTTCTCCCCTTTTAGAAGTATAGGCTGAGCAAATAAAGCCATCTTACACATCCAGATCCTATCAAGTACGACCTGTCATCCACCCCATTTCACATCTTTTTCTTTCTAAACTTGGGGGTTTTCTTGCATTGTGACATGACAAAGAAAATCTGCTGGTGCAGCCCACGTTTGGCACCCTCTCAACGGACTGCACTACCTACCCCACCATCCACAGGAAGGGCTTAGGGATAATGGGAGCTGCGGTCTGCCCACCAGGAGGGGAGCAAGCAGGAGGCGGCTGTGCCGGTCTCAGAACAGGACCAGGGGAAGTGAAAAGCCTCCCGCCTCGACTCACGTGTTGCTGGCTGTACCCTTGCAGGAGCAAAAGGTGGGGAGACTGGTAGAGGGAGTAACGTAGGCTGTTGCTGTTGGACTCCTCCGTGGGGGCGGGGCGCCCGTCTGGCGGGCTCTCCAGGCACCAAAGGGTCTCGGGCAAAGTGGAGTAATGCCGTTTGAGGTGCTCTTGCTTGGCATCTTCCGGGGTTCCCGTCTGGCTGAGGCTGGTCTCACTGACGGTACGACGGAGGGTAGGGGGTGTGGAGTGGCTTCTGCATCCCGTCAACAGTGTCATGTTCCCTTTCGTGCGGTTTCGCTGGAGCTTTCGAGCCTGGGCATTGATACCTGCGAGGGACAAACGAGATATTCAAATTGTGTGTGTATATGTGCGCCATCAAGTCAGTTCTGAGTGATGGCGACCGTTTCCAGGCAGAGAATACTCAGGAGCTGTTTTTACCCTTCCCTTCCTCTAGGGGGCATCCCAGGGATAGTGCAGCTGGCCCAAGGCCACCCAGGCTGGCTCTACTTTTTTGCAGGAGGCCCGGTGGGGGAATCGAACCCCCAACCTCTGGCTCCGCAGCCAGATACCCTAACTCACTGTGCGAGGTAGCCAGCTATCCAAACGACGCCTCTTTAATTAAGAATACAAAACAACCCACCAGATCTGACCACAAGTGGAGTTCAACCAAGTTACTTCAGCACGCTGACAGGGATATTTTGGGAGTTGCCATTCTAGAGCTTTCTTGGAATTGGGGTCCAGAAAAAGTAACTTTTCCAAGCTGTGGTCAAAAACGCCATGCCACAGAAGCTGTGTGCCCACAAGCTAGGCTATAAGATAATAATAAGCCTCTTTTCTTTGCTTCTCCCTAGAAACGGATATAGAAACATATACGGCATCTCAGCCTGGCTAATAAGTGAATGATATTGAATTACTTATATTTTGAAATTAAACATATATCTTGCCTCTCCTGCCACGAACAGCGTATATGGTTGTCTGTCCCCCACTCCCTGTAAGGTAGGTGATGGGTCCATTATCATACAGTAAATTCCTTTCATCCCTTGAATTCTTGAGGCCCAACCAGCACTTTAATCACTTCTTCTCAATCCTCTTCCTCCAGGTATTTGAACAAATTCACCCACATATGGCCAAGCCTTGCTCTGCTACTAAGGAACATGGATGGGCTATTGGGACTTTTCAGACTGCAACTTCCAAAAATTCTCTAATCCGAAAGTTCCACGGGAAAGACGCACATTTATGGTTCCCTAAATTTAACTCACCTGGAGGAAGGCCTAGCTCAACGCTTCATGGCCTCAGTTCCCTGTCAAAAGAGGGTGGTTCTTTTTTATTTTTTAACAGAAAGCTAGCCTGGAGCGCAATCTTTCCCCAAGTGAACAAAAGTCCGGTTCTCTGGGTGTAGGTCTGTCTGTTGGAACTCCAAAAATGGAGAATTTTAGGATTTGGAACCCAAAAATTCCGAACGGCACATGTCTATCAAAGAATTCCGCAGATGGTGTTTCATACAGGAAGAGAAATCCTGTTGGTTTGTCCTAGCACGATAAACAGGGAAACAAAATCACAACATTCTCCTTCCCGTGCAATGGCTAGTATTTTCCCATCTCAGTCCTGCATCCTTCTTTTCGAGGGTGATTTTTGCCCATTGATCAAGAAACGGGCAAATCAAACAGAAGCAATAACCCTGTTCTCTTTTGCAGGGACGGCTCCAGTTTCTAGTGCTGGGTGGCATTATTCATGTCTTCTGTAGCCACTCAGTATCCCCTTTTTCTGCTGGCTGTACGAATGGGCTCAGCTTCACCGAGGGGAAAAAGGAAAACCTACTTGTCCTGCACGCAGACGTTTTCTATAAGACCACAGAAAACAACAGGGGAAAAGTCCGTTGGGTTTGCAGAACCCTCAACAGCCTGTCTTGCTAGGATGAAATGGGCAGTCGGTCTGTCCCAACTAAAATATCAGGATTAGTTTCAAGAGTGCCCTTCTGTTTATGGCAATGGCCTTTCCCCTCTATGGTTTTTATTGTTTCCTGTTTAGCCACGGCTTCTTAGGAGCCCATTTATTAGTCAGCTTTTAAGTTCTTGCAAGAGGGGAAAAAATATTCAGTTACCAACTCCATTCTCTCCTCTTTTTTGGGCCGGTTCTTGGATCCTTTTAAATGAAAACGTCACTGTAACAAAGACAGAACAACAGAATGGCACCATGGCCGCTTCCAGATGGTTGATTCCAAAGATAAAAATGGTGAAGCTAATCTAGCTTTTTTTTTTAAACTCCTTTATTGGTTTTCCAGTTCTAAACAAGACAGAGATGGGGAAACACGGAAGGGTTGCGTCTGGGTCGCTTCATCATCCCATGAAGAAGTCAGGGCATAGGAGAAACCCCGTCTGGAAGCACGAAGTTGATCAATAGAGGGAAATGCTATTGATCCGTGGTAAGGCACCTGATCTGGATGCAGAAGGTCACAGATGCAAGACCCCCACCCCACCCCTCCAAAAAAGAGCTAAAGAAGACTCCTGCCTAAAACCATCCTATATTTTTCTCATTCCACATTCCGACTATTCTCCATCAAACAGACTGAGAACAGAACAGCAAGACCAGAGAAACGGATTCTAGCGTGCCCACCGTGATTCAGTGGAACCAAGCCTTCCTCAGCTTAGCCTGCTGCATTTTACAACCAACTTGCCTGTTCGGAACCCCTCTTTTAAAAGGGAGCTGAAAGGCTACATTCCTTCCCGCACATAGACACGTCCCGAAAACTTTATTGTGGCCCCTGAAAAACACATCTTTTTCACGACATCCAATCATTTCGAGAGGAGGAACGCCAGGACTTCTGCAGGGGTTTGTTAAGACCCAAATCCCCTGCCACCCTCGGCTTCTTAAAATGGTGGAAACCCCACAAAATAACGGGGTCAACCCTCAGGAAAGGCATAAGCCATGTGGAGGAACAACTGGAGGAAGAAGAGGAAGGTTTCGATTTGCAGGATTCCTGTCAACCGCCCTGCGAGGGGGCGGCTCATGGACTCAATGGAGGGACCCCCTCCACCCTAAAAATTTCAGGAGGGGTACCCTCTAACGCCATTCATGTGTGATCTACGTCCTTGATTTTCGTTGTCCTTCCTAACCCATGGAGTAAGTCAAGATGGAGAACTGCCAACTCTAATTTGAAGTCCGGCATCCTGGGGGGGAAAAAGACGAAACCATTTTGACCCATGTTCCTCGTCTTAACTCACTCCAGAAACTGGCATGTTCTGCTGTAGCCTTCCACAATGTCACCCCCTCCCTGCTGTTCCTTCATGAAATCTGGCTGCTCTTACAGACACACACCCCCAAAATCACTTTTGGCTCTCCCGCAGGCTCCCTTTGCCAGCCGCTTCCCACCGTAGCGATGTGCACAAAGATGCGCATTTCGAAAATAAATAAACAAGCAAACAAACATGCAAGATGTAAAACACAACCCTACCCTAGAATTCAGGAAAAGGCACCGTCCTCGGGCAGGAAAGATGGATGGGAATCATGTCCTGACCACCAAATGGGGGGTTCTGCAGATGGTCCCAGACCCTCTGGCTTAAGCTAAGGGCACCTGCCAAGGAGGCAGCTGACTAGCTAGCTGGCGGGACCGGCAGACTGCAGTGAAGAGCGCTGCTCACTCACTGCAGAGGCGAGAAATAATTAACTTCTCCACACTGTCTTTCTGGAAAGAGAGAGAGAGAGAAGGGAAAAGAGAGCAAGAAGCTGCCAAGAAGATGGATGTAGGTCTCCGAACCGCCAGCGGAGAGACAAAAACGCCCAAACGGTCTCCCAGCCCCGAAGCGCAGTGGTAGGGTCCCTCCATCCCCCACCTCCCCCAGAGTGGAACGATCCTTCGCCATAAATCCTCACCCTCTACTGCAAGATGCTGGAGGCAAAAGTTGAGAAGAAGTTGGGGATGCTCCTGGCGATGGGAGAAGAAAGGATCCGTGATGCCGGAATCGGGGTGGGGGCCTGGAATTCCAGACTTACCATCTCCAGGATGGCAGACACAGAATGAGAATAAAAATTAGACAGATAATGAGAATAAAAATTAAAATTAACGGCTCACCCGTTGCCCGACGGTCTACCAAGTGGCAAAGTGAGACCGTGCCGAGAATTTCCCATGCCTTATCTCCGCTGTTTTCTGCAGGAGGGAGGTTACTTGTGCAACGCAAATCTTTTCTTCCAAAATGTCACCATGGTCCATTCTTATAATTTAAAAATATATATATATTTAATAACCCCCAAAGGTCTGTGATTTTCCTCTTGGATTCTGCTGACGGTTTCCCAGAGAGGGTTTAAAAGCTTCTGCTCCGTTCAGGGTGCTGAATCTAGACAATCTGCAGGACTTGGGGGTGGAAAACCCAAAAGCCAGCTTCTTGGGAAAGAGCTGCAACTATATTAAGCACAAGGAGAAAAACTTTCCCCATCATCTCTGCCCACAGGGTCCTGCTTAGGTCCCAACAGGCAACCTGCCTTATTTGGTGAAGAGCCCATGCCTGGGTTCTCAAAGGCATCTTATGTGTTTGTTTGTTTTAAAAAAGGCAGAAGAAAAATCCTTTGCTGGGAAAATTGAAGAGGTGACTGGAGAAGAGGAGGGGAGAGCCGTTCCTAATGTTTACATGCCTCCGGATTAGGAGATGAGATGGACAAACCCGAGCAGACTGTTCTAACGCAATGGCAAGCAGCCATTTGGGGCCGAGTTAGAATCTGACTTACAAATATACGGCTTGTTGTTGTTTAGTTGTTTAGTCGTGTCCAACTCTTCGTGACCCCATGGACCAGAGCACGGCAGGCCCTCCTGTCCTCCACGGCTTCTTGGAGTTGGGTCAAATTCATGTTGGTAGCTTCAGTGACACTGTCCATCCATCTCATCCTCTGTTGTCCCCTTCTCCTCTTGCCTTCACACTTTCCCAACATCAGGGTCTTCTCCAGGGAGTCTTCTCATCAGATGGCCAAAGGAATTGGAGCCTCAACTTCAGGATCTGTCCTTCCAGTGAGCACTCAGGGTTGATTTCCTTCGAAATGGATAGGTTTGTTCTCCTTGCAGTCCAGGGGACTCTCAAGAGTCTCCTCCAGCACCACAAAGCATCAATTCTTTGGTGGTCAGCCTTCTTTATGGTCCAGCTCTCACTTCCATACATCGCTGCTGGAAAAACCGTAGCTTTGACTATGCGGACCTTTGTCAGCAAGGTGATGTCTCTGCTTTTTAAGATGCTCTTGAGGTTTGTCATTGCTTCCCTCCCAAGAAGCAGGCGTCTTTCAATTTCGTGGCTGCTGTCTCCATCTGCAGTGATCACGGAGCCCAAGAAAGTAAAATTTGTCA